TGCATTGCCTCCACGAACCTTTTCTACACGCTTCTCACACTTCTGTCCTCTTCATCCTTGCTTCTTCCTGCATGTTTAGGTTTGGTGTTTGAAAGAATTTCCTGAAAGTAAAAGTGAGATCTTTTAAAAAGCCAGAAAGGAGGGCAGCAATAGACTTTCGCGTGACTCCTGTCCTACCACCCTGAGCTGGGCGGTCTGGACAACTTACTTAAACTCTCTGAACCACAGTCTCTTGCTGCGTAAAGCAGGGTGACAATATCCATCTTTCAGAGCTGTAGTGAGCACCGCAGGTGATATATACCAAGGAGCAGCATGCAGGCAGGTCTCAGACATCGTTGTTATTATTATATAAATAACCCCCAAGGGAGGGCCTGAGCGCTCTGACTTCTTCAAAGATAGTGATCTGAACTAAACCACAACATCACACAACACCTCCCATCAGCCGGATAGTTTAGGCACAGCTCTGCCTCTCGGTGAGAGAGAGCCTTCGACGGGTGGGTGAAGAGCACAGTCTCTCCTGAAGATTATGATTCTGTGTGATGGAGAAACATAGAACTGGGAGGCAGAGGACCTGGCTCCAGTCCGAACTCATGGAATGACCCCAGCCTCAGTTTCCTTATCTGCAAAATGTGGAGGTTGATCTAAACGATCGTCGAGGTCTCTTCCAGTTCTCAGAGTCTATGATACTATTAAAAGGAATATTCAACGTCTTCTATGTTATTTTATTTTGCACCAAAAACACTCACCTGCTGTAAGGCCCAAACGGCTGGTTTCCCAAGGGTTTCCCAAGGAAAGAGGGGACAACTTGTGACATTAGGCGTGTCCGTGGAGTTCCTGCTGGATCTGACACAGAAGAGGAACCGCTGCAGGGCAAGAGCCAGATCATTTCTTCGCCAGGTGACCCGAGCTCCCAAGGCACCGCTATGTCCTCTGTAAAGTGTAGTAACTTGCCACCTAGACGCTTTCTGTGCGCAGTGAGTTGTTCTAATCTTCACCTTCCATCTCTGCTGGATGGAGAGAGACGCGGCGCAAAGATGAGCGTTTGCTGGGTGCTGGCTGAGCTATGGTTAAAACAGCGCGGCCTTGATTTGCCCACAGAGCGGAGAATCTCGTCTCAGACTCAGTCCACATCCTTTTGAAGCCCCTTCCTTTCCTTTGCCTTTCATGCAGCTCACACAGGCCGCAAGAGCCAGATGAGCTGAACATCAGAGAAACAACAACAACAATCACCCGGCCCACAGACGCTTCTGACCCCTCCACCTTCCCTCCAGCCAGAGGAGCTTTCGCTGCGGCCTCACAGGTTCTGAGCCAACTGTCCGGGCGCAGACGCAGCCGGGACCGAGGGTCCCTGCTCGTGCTGCGCTGGAGGCCCACGGGGCCTCAGGAAGGGGGCAGATCAATACACGAGTGCATTAATGAAATGTGGCGTGTGTATACCATGGAGTACTACTCAGCCATTAAAAAAAGGGTAACAACCTGGATGGAACTGGAGACCAATAAGTGAAGTGTCGCAAGAATGGGAAAACCAAAACCACATGGACTCGCTTCTAAACTGGAACGAATAGATCAACACTCATGTGCACATATGGTAGTAAAATGCAACAGAAATCAAGCAGGTGGGAAGGGGCAGGAGGGGATGGGTAAACTCACACCTAAGGGGTACAACGCACACTATCTGGGGGATGGGAACACTTATAACTTTGACTCAATCTGTACAAAAGCAATTCCTGTAACCAAAACGTTTGTGCCCTGCAATATTCTGAAATTTAAAAAAAGAAGCTTACCTTATGTATACACATTTAGACCTCTTTTGTGATTCCTTATTAAAGAGCGCGTCCTTGGTCTCATGCAGCATCGCGTGCCGGTCTGTCTTGTAATAAACATTCAGTAATCGCAGAATTAACCCCAACGACATTCCCTCTCCCCACCATTTAGCCACAGTGTTTGGACCAGCCCGAGAGCTCTCGCCCACAGGAACTCCCTACCAGGCTTAACTCATTAAAAGAAAAAAAACAACAAAAAAGAAGGGGGCGGACAGAGGGGAGGCGTCGGCCAGGGCTTCGCTCGCTCTGGACTCTGCGACTCCAAGTGCGGCCTGTCAGGTCTCGTCAGAAATGGTCTGAGCCTCCACGCCTGTCCTGTCAGACCCTGCCTGCAAGACCCCCGGCGACGTGTGTCCACACTGCTGTGGACAGCCCCGGCGTCGTGCCTGCGTTTGCGGAGCAGCCGACCTGGGCGTCGTTCTTCAGCGTGGCGTCGGGTAAATGGCCGTCTGCCCCGTCTCCTTCCAGGGTTGGTATTTCTGGGTAACTTGAGAGACGCAAAAAGATCTCAGGGCAAAATGCATCTTGGTTCTATTTCCCCTTCTGAACACGAAGGGGTGAAAAATACGGGCACCGCTTTCGCACTGCAGAGCGGGGTCCGGGGCGCGAGGCGAAACCAAATAAGGGGAGTCTGGATTCCACGTCGGGCCACCGTCCCGCCTGTCCCGCGCCCGGTCTCCCTTGCTGTGTGACCGGCTCTCGTCAGGGAGAGGAGAAAGTGTGACACAGAAGGTGAAGACGGCCTCGTGGACCCTTGGTGCCGAAGAATAATTGGAAACGAAAAATTGCTAAGTGTGCGACTCACCGATCGTGTTGAGGAAAAATGACTCACAGAGAAAGGCACACTCGCGGCACACACCGGGTCCGGTTTTTTAGTCGCTTTCAGCAGAAAAGTAAGTGTCGGCTCCAGGCCCTCTGCCGCGGCCGGAAGCAGAAGTGCTCGCTGCTTTCTAGGCATCGTCCGCACCTTGCTCTGGCAACAGATTCACCTTCTGATGCTGAGAACGTGGCCGGCGCCGCCGTGTAACACGGGCCGGCCGAGGGGCCGAGGGTGCGGTCGGCCAGGGCCCTGGGGTGTGGAGTCCACACGCTGGCGAGGAAGACTGCCCAGACGAAGATTCTGATAGATGGAAGTCAGAGTTTTTATTTACTCTCGCTCTCGAGGACAGAGAGGTCGCACCCGCAGAAATACGGAGAGGCCGGCCCTGCAGCCAACGACTGTGACCGTCTGTTAGGGCAGGCGGAGGAGGGTGGGGGCTCTGACCGGAGCCCGGTTAGCCGAAGACACCTGAGAAACTGCTGTGTTGCCTTTTCTGTTTCTCACACAGAAGACGGGTAGCAGAAATCAGTTTCTTCTTTCCTCTGGTACCGTCTCTTCTTGAGGAGGCAGGGGACGTTCGTACTCCTGCTGTCCGCCCAGGAACTTTTTCAAGGCTGCTTAAACAACACTCAAAAAACCTTTTTACAGGCACTGAATTTTGATGACAGTCCATCAGACAGTCTACCCTTCCCTCCCCTCTCCCGGAAACTTTCTTTCCCATTGGAATGTGAATTGACCAGCTCTGGCGAATGTTAATGAGGATTTATGTCTTCTTTTGTCTGCTCAGCTTCTTTCAATTGCTAGGTAAGTGTCTCTGTAGGAGAGATAGTCCCGCTACTAATCTCAGAAGCAGGTTTATGCTACTCTAAGTAGCTGCCAAGTTAGAAATTTATTTTCTTGTTAGCCTGTTAGCAAGACTGTTCTTTCAGACAGAAATGATGTTTTCGCAGGAGTTAGAGGTTCAGGTAAACTTCGGCCCAATCTCTGTGTGAATTATTAACACCATTCTCTTCTCCCAGACAGTGAAAAGAAGGAAGGAAGCAGAACTAGCATCTATTCCGTGCCTATTATTTGCCACACCTTACTATGTTATTTCATGTAGTCTTTAAATCCGTAAAATAATTGTTATTATACCCATTTTACAGAAAAGGAGTCCAAGCTTTAGGAATTAAAAACAATAAAGCTACATAGCTAGTAAGCTGGTAGAGCTAGAATTTCTCCCCTTCCCACCGCACTGCCTCTCTCGCCTTGTTATACGATCGCCGGAACAGACTGGGTCTTGTGTGACCTGTTCTGCTGTAACTGCTGGCCCACCGAGCCCACTCAGCCTGCTTTTGTTTAGTCCATGCTTGGTGAGAGATGAGCCAAGCTGTCCAAGTTCTCCCACCTCCAGTTCTTGGGAGGGTCAGGAGAGTCCAGAGCCACTGATTGGAGTAGCCTTCGGGACGACAAGGTGCCGGGCAGAGTCTGAGCACACAGAGAAGCTTCACTCAGCGTGGGTGATTAATAAGCAACCGGCCAACCAACAGCAATGAGGACAGCGACCAGCCCTGCCCAGGCTCCGTGCATGTTTCGGGGGCTGGAGAGGCTCTCTTCAATCCCCTCAGCCACTTCCTTTATCCAGCCTGGGGCCTTTTCCCAAAGATCTAATAACCTCTTGAAGCATAAAAAACTTGCGGCAAAGTATGCAAGGGAATTATTTTTCTGATTAGACCAGCTCCATTTTCCCCCTTAATAGCTGGATGTTTGGGAGCTGGTTCTGGTGTCCTTAGTGGGACACCAGTGTCTGTTTGGGGCTACGAGTAGATCAGGTCTTTCTGGCAGCAGAATGTATCTGGCAACTCAGAGGTGGGAAGGCGGGTGGGAAACACACATTTCCTACTTGCCAGACATTGAGCACCACTTTATATATATTTCTCAAAAAATGGCACAATCATTAATTATAGAAGGCTGACAGTCCTTATTTCCTGAAAAGTACTTTGCACAGACACATTTTGTCCTTCAATTAAATCTACACATATTCCCTTCCTTCCTTTCCTCACATTCCTTGGTCCTCCTCTCCCTCTGTTTGACATGAGGCACCTTCAGAATAAAACTCCATTAATTTCTACTCATTTAGTTTGAAAAATATTGTACTTTAGAGAAGAATTTGGTTGAAGCTAACTTTTGAGCCACTCTGATACACAGGTTTCTAAAGAAAAACGTAGCAGTCTTCGTTCCTTTCTAGGAAAAAGTGGGGTCTATATAAATCCTTTAAATAAAGTGGAGAAATGTGTGCTTAAATCATTGCATGATTAAATGTGCGCGTGTTTGCCCGGGGCCTCCTGAACTCCTAAGATGCTCCTTTTTCTTTGCAGAGCTTTGTGACGATGACCCGCCAGAGGTCGCACACGCCACATTCAAAGCCTTGGCCTACAAGAGGGGAACCACGTTAAACTGTGAATGCCAGAGAGGTTACCGCAGGATAAAAAATGGGTCACCCTACCTGCTTTGCACAGGAAACTCCAGCCACTCTTCCTGGGACAACAAATGCCAATGCATGAGCACTGGTAGGTGGTTCCTTTTATAACGACCGAGGGAAAGGGAACCTCAGCAAAGAGTGAGCCTGAACCCAGCTTTTGTTCCCTCCGCCCCATAGACAAATGGGCCAGCCCAATCGACAGGATAGCTCCTTTGAGTAGTCCCTGGAATATTCCCTCGCTAAGCAAATGTGAATGTCTATTAGTTCAAGAACCGCTCTAGGCACCGCCGATCCAATAGGCTCAGCCTCTGAGTACTTATATTTGAGGCAGTGGGCAGACATTACACTAATAATTACTAAGCAATTAAAACATAATTCTAGCTCACAACAATGCGGGTGTATTTAACGCCTCTGAACTTTACACTTAAAAATGGTTAAACTTTTTGTTATGTATATTTTATCAAAATTTTGAAAAAAATAAATGTAAAAATATGAACGAGCAGAATACAAGCCTATCATAGAGAATATTAAAAATCATAACAATCCCACTGGGGGATCTCTGCCTCTCTGTTAGGCGGAATCAATTGGTCTGAGACCATAATTTTGCCACTGAATTTTCTTTTTTCAATCCTGAAAGCTGTCGCACGGAGCCCCATTTCCCCAGTGGGTCTCTTATCCACTCTGTGATAGGAGAATGTGGTCAATCGTGGTGGGTTCATTTGTCTTTTTATTTCTGAGCGCTGGAGATGGCATCGGTCAGGGAGCCTCAGTGTCCTTTGTCCCATCCAAAACACGCGTGGACTGCAGAATCCAAAGATCCATGCTCTGCTGAAGCATGTCGCTGACTTTTTCCCGGTACACCCGTCCCTCATCCTGACCTGGAAGTCCGTCCCCACCTCACTGGGGTGCTCGTCCTCTCCACTCCTTTGCCAATGTTGCTTCAGAATCGCATCTCTCCAGCTTCACGTGTTCTGAGCTGCTTTGGGGAGCAAAGGACGCAGTGAGTTGTGAGGTCAGACCATGTCTCATTGCTGTCACGCGTCCCCACGCTCAACGTTGACAGAATTAGTGACAAGAAAGGATCCCATCTTGGTGAGACACGCATATGCAAAGAAGATTTTCTACCGAAAATCTTTCATTTCTTTCAGAAACGTGTTGTAGGCATTGTCGTCATGCACGTGAATACCAAGAGGCCGGTGCCGGGCGGGGCGTGGGCAGGCCCCCCCGAGGGAGAGCGGGCATGGGGTTCATCCCTGTAGCCCCAGCACTCAGATGTCACCAGGCACTTTGTGGGCACTCGAGACAGACTCTTCTCGAGTGAATGAAAACGTGAGCGGTGTTTTCCACTTTAAGCATTTGTGAGGTTATTTGTTTCATTTCCCTCATATTTTCTAGCCTCTAGGCACACAAGAGGAGTTACCCCTCAACCTGAAGAACAGAAAGAAAGAAAAGTCACAGAAATGCAAAGCCAAGTGCAGCCTGTGGACCAAGTGAGCCTTCCAGGTAAGAGACGCACCTGAACACCTGTCCCCAGCTGACTCAGGGAGCTGGCTCTCCGCTTGCGTGTAAGTGACGTGTTCCCCAAAGGAGGAGGGTCTGTCCCACCACCCGTAAGCACGCACATTCTGTCCCCCTCGTCCCAGGGTACCCTGTGAACCAGAACTAGCGTGCAGCGTTTGTAGGCTGTTTGCTCAGCACTGCAAACCACTCTTACAGCCGCCAGCCGGGGTCTGGGCTTCCTTCCTGGTTTGGGGGCTGGCCGTGTGGACGTCGACTCAATTCAGCTCAAAAGCATGTGCTGGGACCGACCGTGTGCCAGACCCTGCCCACAGAGGATATTGTACAAATAGGAGCGTGACAACAGCCCCTGCCCTCAAGGAAATGCTGTTTTTCCCCTAAGTACAAGAACCAACTGCAGGCAAAACTACTTCCTTCACGGTGTCTCTCGCAGGGCAAACGTGCCTGTCACACTGCTGTGCGTGAGCGAGCCCCGCGCCTGCCTCTCGCCTGCCCACGGCGTTCCCAAGCGAGTTGCGCTTACGTTGGGTCACCATGTCAAGAAGCAACAGAGCCCGCCAGGAAACACGGAGCTTTTTGAGGACCTGCTGATTTCATGAGCCCCCCGTGGTCCTAGGCTGACTTTATAACCTACAAAGAACTGCATTGTACAGAGTCTTGCCCGCGCCTCCCCGGCCGCGGGGTCAGGCAGAGGGAAGTGAAGCTAAAAGACGGCCAAGCTCCTACGATAGGATGGGATCGGACCTCGGTCTCCTGGATTACCGGGGGATCTTTCTACTGATAGCTTAAGTCAAACGGGCTTATGTTTGTTCACAACTTCCATTATTTTTTTTAAAGCCTGCTCCTGGGGACATTACTGCAACGTGATGTTTTTGTCTCTGGCCCTCCAGCTCTGGCCTGGGACCGTGTTTCCAAACCCACGTCGTAGCTCGTTCTGCTGCACTTTCTCCGCACTGCCCTCCACGCTGTCGGAAGGTTTCGGAGAGGACAGGGTTTGCTGTCCTGACCCAGGAGGTCACTGGCGCGTTCCGGCCGAGGCTGCCTCACAGACTGTCTTAGTCTGGTGTTTTCATTTGAAAAACGCAAACCCCACTCAGACAGGTTCGGACAGCTATGGATAGTTTGGCCGTCGAACAGCAGTTCGTTCTGAAATGAAAACACAAGTGCGGTCACAACGGGCAGGGCACTACGTGGCAGAAGCCAGCTTGGGGCAGGGCCACCGGGTGCCCCACCGGGGCAGAGGGCTTGGCAGGACATGCACGGGACTTGGAGGCTGGAGGGTCTATCAGGCAGAGCACGTGTGCAGCTTCACAGGCTGGGGTCAGAGGGCACATGCGGGTACCTATGACCAGGCTGCACGCGGGACTCTGAGATTGAATTGGAACAGGACATGATCTCTGAGGCCAAAAGTCCGTCAGGCGTGGGCTGCGGTCGGGCGAGTGGAAAGTTACTGGGCTTGGGAAATTTTTAGAGGTCTTGGTAGAGCTCGTGGGGCAAGCTGCAGGCACGGCTTGATCAAAGATCACTCTCCATTTCTCTGAGATTCCCTCAGCCCTGCCCTCCCCTCCTGTGGCTTCCCCCCGGCCCCCACCCCGTCCTCCTGCCATGGTCCCGAGTTGGCCACCAGCTGCCACCAGAGAATGTGCCTCTGACCTCTCCAGTGGAGATCCAAGGTCATCTTCATGCTTTGTTGGTGCAGACTGGCTGGAGCCTGTCCTAATACCTCAGCCAAGACCGCCCCTCCCGCTCCCGTCCACTTACCCAAACCTCGCTGTCCTCAAGGGCCAGCTCTGTGCACCCCTGCAAGCGTCTGCTCCTCAGCGACACACCTTTCTCACCCGATCAACTGTCCCCACCTTGCAGGAGTGACGGGGTCTTTGTGCCTTCCCACAGGGCCTAGCAAAGCTCCTGACACACAGACATCCCCGCTCGCGCTGGCTGAATGGGAGAGCGAATGAGCAAAGGAACAGGAACCATGGTCCAGGCTCTACAAGAGGCGGGCTGGACCAGCGCGGTCTCTCCAGCTCGCCTTCGGAATTTTCTTCCCCTCCACCAGGGCACTGCAGGGAGCCCCCGCGGTGGGAGCATGAGGATGCAGAGAGGATCTATCACTTCGTGGTGGGGCAGACGGTTCACTACCAGTGCGCCCAGGGATACAGGGCTCGGCGGGGAGCTCCTGCCCAGAGCGTCTGCGAATTGACCGACGGAAAGACGAGGTGGACCCGGCCCGGGCTCGCGTGCGTGGATGAAACGGAGCCCAGCCAGTTTCCAGGTAGGGCGGCCCCCGCCTGCGTCCCCTCTGCCACTTCTCTAGGTCGGGCCGGCCAGGGTGGAATCCCTGACCCCACCTGCTACATGACCTTGGACGAACCACTCCGTCTCCCTGGGCCTCCATTTCTTCTCATTCTAAAAACAGACCAGATAGCTCTGGGGGCCCCTCCGACTGAGGCCCCCCTGTACCCTGAATCAGGGGGGGTGACTGGAGGTGGAGGAGGAGGGAGGGCCTCCTGAGGGCTCCACAGCACCCCACGTGCTGCCCCTCCCGGCTTAGTCCTGAGATTCTGCCACGTCCCTACGGCACCGAGACTGCCCACGTTCGAAGGAAAAGTCCTTCGTCCACCACGTGTTTCTTCCTTTTGCTGGTGACCGCGTACATCCACGCTCGTGCGCTGCTCCCTGCTCTGCCCCCTGGGTAACTCCCCTTCTCAGCTTGGATCGGAGTGCAAAGTGCAGAGAAAGGGCTTGTTCGAGCGCACGTGCACAGCCCGCCTGCGCCGGGGTCCTCTGCTGTCTTCGCTCTGAAACCTTAGTGGTATTTCCACAATCGAGAGTTCCTTACGCTGACCAGCGAGTGTTCCTGGTTCCTTGCTCACCCGCATTCCTCATGCCCGTGTGTTCCTCCTGGGCTCTCTGGGACCACACTGCTATCCCTCAGTCTGCCTGCAGCAGGCCACCCCGACAGCCAGGGCACCCCACGGCCAGGACACCCCGACAGCCAGGGCACCTCATAGCCAGGACACCCCACGGCCAGGGCACCCCACGGCCACAGCACCCCATAACCAGAGCACTGGATAACCAGGGCACCCCGCAGCCAGGGCACCCCACAGCCAGGGCACCCCACAGGCCAGGGCACCCCACGGCCAGGGCACCCCACGGCCACAGCACCCCATAACCAGAGCACTGGATAACCAGGGCACCCCGCAGCCAGGGCACCCCACAGCCAGGGCACCCCACAGCCACGGCACCCCACGGCCAGGGCACCCCACAGCCAGGACACCCTGGCACTCACTGGTCAGAGGCTTTTTGCGCTGGGTGGGGCCGGGGTCCGGCGGGGAGCCTGTGGCGGGGAGAAGCCATCCCTTTGTGTGTTTCTGCTTGAGCTGGTGGTGACGGTACTTGCACGGCCGCGGCCCATTTCCCAGTTGCAGGGCTGAGCAGGAAGCCCACAGAGCAAGCCTTGCCCAGAGTCACACGGACAGCCAGGGTCGGGGTTAGACTCCTTCTCACCCGCCATGCTGAGGTCACTTTAGCACCCCCCAGCGGCCGTGGGGTGGAACTGCATGACGTGGCATCCCCAGAGATGTGCCCACGACGGGGTGGTCCCTCGGTCTCAGCGGGCGCACCAGGGCTGCTGCCAAGGGCAGGCGGGTAGGGGTGAGGCTCCCTCTCCCGTCTTTGGCCCTCAAGCATCGCTTACTCTCCCCTCCAGGTGAAGAGCCGTCTCAGGCAAGCCCCGGTGACCTTCCTGAGAGGGAGACGTCCTGTCCCCTCACGACGACAGGTACGGGGAGCTCGCCACCGACGCCCAACCAGACAGTCACCAGAGGCAGCTCTGGACAGACGGGCAGAGGTGGCCACAGTGTGGGGAGGAGGAGCCCCCCCAGCAGCCCCCTCCTCCAGAGCAGGGACAGGGTCTCAGCGACCTGCACGCCCCAAAGCAAGCGTCACAAAGAGGAAGCACAGGACCCAGGAGGGTCTCCAGGCAGAGGGTGGAACACCTGCCTCCCTTCCGCCCACCAGCCTCCGAACTGCCAATCCACGGAGAAGCCTGACTCCCGCCAGCCTCCTGGGGCCCCACGGTGACCGTAACCGAGCGCCTCCCCCCCTCTCTCCCAGATCCTCAGGAGCACACAGAAGCAGCCACGACCATGGAGACATTCGTTTTCACGACAGAGTACCAGGTGGCAGGTGAGTGGCTTTGCTTGTGGACAAAATGCACACCGTGCTGAGACGTGGGCAGGGCGGCCGGCTGGTTGGTTGAAAGGACCCCTCCTGTTCCTCCCGAGCCGGTGCAGGGGGACAGCACCCCGCGGCCTCTCTCTGGAGGAGGGGGCCGCATAGCCAGGCGGGCAGAGGACAGGCTTCCAGAATCACTGCGCTGTCCCCTGGTGGGAGGCTTTGAGGCTGCCTCTGCCTGAACACACAGACCAACAGCTGCCGCCAGGACGCAGCCAGGCAGCATCTGGAAGCCATGAACACTTCCAAGAGACGCGAGTGTGTTTATTGTTTATCTCCATGTTTCGACACTTCTTTCACCCGGCGCGGGCCCTGCTCGCGGCCTCCTTAAATGAGGCCCGGCCTGTGAAGCTGTCTAAAGCACCTGCCCTGCCCTCCTAAAAACCCTCTGGGGAGGGACCTGTTCTGAGGAGGGGAGTAGACACTGCCTGTCTGCCTTGGGGACAGTCTCCACCTGCCCTGGGGCCCCGGCTCCTGCTGCCCCGACGCCACGCCAAGGGCCCCTTTGCTGACCGACCTCTCTGTTGACAGTGGCCGGCTGCGTCCTCCTGCTGTTCACCGTCCTCCTGCTGAGTGGGCTCACCTGGCAGCGGAGATGGTGAGTCCAAGCTTGCCAAGGAGGTGCGTCACCAAAGGGCAGAGCAGGGCTGGCCACGGTGGCTCAAATCTGGAATCCCAGGGAGGATTGCTTGAGGCCAGGAGCTTGAGAGCAGCCTGGGAAACATAGCAAGACCCCACCTCTACAAAAAAAAAAAAATTTTTTTTAACTAGCAAGATGTGGTGGTACGCACCTGTAGTCCCAGCTACTTGGGAGGCCGAGAAGGGAGGATTGCTTGAGGCCAGGAGCTTGAGAGCAGCCTGGGAAACATAGCAAGACCCCACCTCTACAAAAAAAAAAAAATTTTTTTTAACTAGCAAGATGTGGTGGTACGCACCTGTAGTCCCAGCTACTTGGGAGGCCGAGAAGGGAGGATTGCTTGAGGCCTGGAGGCCGAGGCTACAATTAGCTGTGATCAGGCCACTGCACTCCAGCCTGGGTGACAGCGAGTCCCTGTCTCTAAAAAGCAGAGGGGGCCGAGCAGAGAGCAGAGGACAGACCCTGTGCCCGGCCCAGCCCCATCCTCTCGCTGACCACTCACAGTGTAGGGCATGCACAGGGAAAAGCCACCTGTGCCTTCCCAAAGGGTCTATCTGAAAGAATTAAAGCCCCAGGGAAACGGGAGAGCAAAGGAAACTAACATTCGCTGAGCGCCCACTGCACACCAGGCCCGATGCTTATCTTAACCACATTATCGCTTATCTTCCCAGAAAGCTTTGGAACAGCTAATGGCCCTGAGAGATTCAGTAGCTTGAACAAGATGGCAGAGCAGAGGCCCGATTCAGGCAGGCTGAATCTACAGCCCCAGATCTCCCTACCCAACCCCCTCCCGGAGGGAAACCAGGGCAGCGTCTACACTGAGCTTTGCTGCCCTGCGCTCCCCACCCAGCTCTGCACACGCTCACACCAGCATCCCCTCGGCCAGTGATGGAACCCACGTGTGGTCTTATTGGCACTAAGTCAGGTTCTCAACCCCGATGCCCATTAGATCGGCCAGGAGAGATTCTTTTAAATACCAGTGCTTGTACTCCAGCCAGTATCTCTAAGCGGGGGCCCGACATCAGTACTCTTTCATTCTTAACTGATGTAAGATTCATCATTTAACCATTATAAGGTGTACCATGCAGGGGCGTCTTAGTCTGTTTTGTGCAGCTGTAACAGAATACCTGAGACTGGGTAATTTACGAAGAGCAGAGAGTTATTCCTTACGGTTCTAGAGGCCAGGAAATCCAAGCTCAGGGACCCACATCTGGCCAGGGCCTTCATGCTGCGTCATCCCACGGCAGAAGGCGGGAGGGTAGGAGAGGGAGAGAGAGCAAGAGGGGGCTAAACTGACACTGAACCCGCCCCCAATAGCAACATCAATCCATTCCCACCTCTCAACACTGTTGCATTGGGGTGAAATTCCCAACACGTGATCTCTGGGGGACACATTCAAACTATAGAAGGTGGTATTTCGGACGCTCACGATGCTGTGCAACCACTGCCGCTAAGTAATTCCAGAATACTTCCATCACCCCAATAGGAAACCCGATACTTCCCAACTCCCTACCTCCCCCAGGCCCTGGCAACCACTACTTGATTTTCTGTCTCTGTGGATTTGCCTTTTATGGACATTTCATGTAAATGGAATCACGTAGCCTTTTATGTCTGGGGCATTAGTACTTTTTAAAAACCGCTCAGATGCATTCGGTACACATGCGTCTAGGTTTGACGGCCCCGTGCTGGGCCTTTGGTTTTCAAACTTGAACGTGCATCAGAATAACCTGGAGGAACACAAAGACAGGGTGAGTCAGTTTGGGATGAGGGCTGTGCCGATGACCCTGAACTGATCACTATACATATGTGTCTTAAAACATCACGATATACCCCACATATGTGGACAATATTATGTGTCAACTTTTTAAAGAGCTTAAAAATACAATTGCCTGGGGTGCTTATTAAAGCACAGGTTGCTGGCCCCACCCCCAGAGCTTCTGATTCAGTAGTCTCAGTTGGGGGCTGAGAATTTGCATTTCTAACAGATCCCCAGGTGATGTTGTTCCAGGGAACACACTCTGAGAACCACTGCCCTAGGCTAACAGTATGAAGAATCATGAGAGTGAAATCATTTCACAAAAACTCAAGTTTTATTGAAAAAAGCCAATTTCTCCCTCCCTCTAGGGAGTAAACTACAGAGACCCACTATGCCTCTCTCCTGGCTGTCCGCAGTATATCCCCCACCCTGGCCAGAGTATGCTCTGGCCAACCCTGATGTCAACTCCCCAGCAAGGCCCTGAGAAGACAGACACCCCCCCGTCCTGCCCCCGCACAAAAACCAAAGCTCTCGGATCCTATAGTTAGCCCAGCCAGAGAAAAAACAAACCAGATCTCTTCCCTTCTTGTAATGGCCATCAGGCCTGCAATATACTCCTAATGTTCCTCATGTGCATTATTAAAAAGTGCAAGTTACTGCAATGCAGATGATAAGCCCTGCAGGGTTCCTGTAGCAGGAATTATTCATATGCCTGACTGTCCACCGATTCCCCAAGGTGTCACTTTAGCCTCCCATGAGATGAAGTATGCAAAATACTTGACGCCTGGCAGGTACCCAGTCCTTGCTGGGGCCTCTCCTTCCTCAGGCTGAAGACCTTACAAGGCTTAATACCCAGCAAGGATTTTCGTTTGGTAGCTCGAAGAGCAAAGGCCTTCGGACACAGAGGACGAGGCTATTGGAGAGTGGTAATGTTTCAGTGTTTATGTTGTGAAACAAAGAACTACATTCCCACAAGGTCTCCCAGAATTACGATCTTCGGGGAGACTCAGACATAAATCTTGAAATGACCCCTCTCATCAAGGAGTTTGTCCAAAAGCCTCCTTCCTAGACTCTAATGCCATCTTGTGGCGCCCTCTTGTGGCAGCAGAAATCCTACATTTGAATTACTGAAAACCATATCCCAGCCAAAGAGAGTTTTGTTTGGGGTTTCTGTGTGTGTGTTGTTTTGTTTTGTTTTGTTCTTTGGGCAACGACTAGGAGCCAATGGTGTGGCACAACAGACTCACACTGGCCGGTGACAGACGATGGCTAAATTTTCAGGAATTTTGCAAACTGATGTTTTAAGCACAGCCATTATTAAAAATTAAAGCATATAAACTTACAATTCAATAAATTATATTAAAAGCAAGGGCAATAAATACTTAAAACTAATCACTTCATAATTATTTTGCGACATTTTACTACTATCTTAGTTCTCAGGGTTATTTCCATCTCTTGTGTCTGTGTAGTGGAAATCCTATTGATGCTACCACACATCCCTCCCCAGCTTAGTGTTCCGTGATGTCATGTTGGAAACTGGGCAGCTGGGAGAATATACCACAGAAATAGGCATCTTCAGAGAGCTGCTTGTTAAACGTTACCAGCACACCTTGCTGTGGGGGAGCGCTGAGCAAAGTATTAATAGGAAGGAACCAGATGTTCCCAGGAGTGAAATAAGGACGGAGCAGGGTCTAAAACCACACTACCCAACACAGTGGCCACTAGCCACCTGTGGCTGTTTAAGTAGAAATTTAAATAAATTTAATACAACTAAAAATTCAGTTCCCTGCTTGCATATCCACATATGATCACCTTACTAGAAACCACAGGTACAAAAATTTCCATCATCTCAGAAAGTTCTATAGAAATTAGGAGTTTCAGTTCATGCAAATCACTTAGCACATTAGTTGCTATTATTATTTCTGTTCCACAGCTATTGTCTTCCATGTAGTTTTAAAAAAAAATTATAGAACATTTTCTAAGTGCCAGGCACTGTGCCAGGTGCCCAAGGATGACTACATCATGGTCTTGCTCTCAGGAGCCTGCAGACTAATGGTGGAGAAGAGAAAAAAATTCTAACTTTAAATAAAATTTGTTAAAGCCTAAGACTGAGGTGTGAGAAGAGCAAAGAGAGAAGACCCTACATGGGGGTTCAAAGACGGCCTTAGAGTCGATGGTGACTGAGCGCGTAAGGCCAGGTGGAGGAAGGTACAGGGTGTGACGTGGCATGATCACCTGCGTTTGGAAGAAGCCAAGCCGTTCTCAACAACTGGGTGTGAAGTGCCCGGCGCAACGGTGACACCAACGTCATGTCATAGTCATGGAAGATCTAGAAGACTGGGCCAGGCTGGGGAGTGGGACCTTGTCCTGAGGGCCACTGAGAACCGCAGAACGCTTTCCTTAGGAGGCAGATGGCGGCGCAACCACTTCAATGGTTGGGCTACAGCGTCGAAGCCGGGTGTAAACTGGGTAAATAGTGGTGGCAGTTTGACCGCATTACGATGGAACAAATCCACAGAGGAGACGATGATAGCTTGAAGTAGGTCAGGGGATGTAAGTTAAAAAGGAGAAAAAGAATCAAGAAAGACATAAAGGAGGTCAAATTAGCAAGATTTGTTGGCTGAGCAGAAGTGAGGGATAAGGAAGACGGTGAGTCAGGGATGACTCTGATACCAAAAGAGTGACTGAGACAAGAGTCCCAATCACTCGAGGTTTGTTAAGCCAGTTTTAGGGCACGTCTGGGAAAACTCAAGCCACAGAGGCATCGGTTTTCTTTCTTCCCTTTTTTTTTTTTTTTGTTTGAGACAGAGTCTTACTCTGTTGCCCTGGCTAGAGTGCCGTGGCGTCAGCCTAGCTCACAGCAACCTCAAACTCCTGGGCTCAAGCGATCCTCCTGCCTCAGCCTCCCAAGTAGCTCGGACTACAGCATCATGCCCGGCTAATTTTATGTATATATATTTTTAGTTGTCCAGATCATTTCTTTCTATTTTTTTAGTAGAGACAGAGTCTCGCTCTTGCTCAGGCTGGTCTCGAACTCCTGACCTTGAGCGATCCACTCGCCTGGGCCTCCCAGAGTGCTAGGATTACAGGCGTGAGCCACCGCGCCCGGCCTTCTTCCTTGTTTTGTTTTTTGTTTTCTGAAGAGGTTTTCAGGAGGTTTAGCACTTACACGTTTCCCGAAAGGGGGAGGGCGTGTAGAAAGAGGGTCTCTTCTTTGTCCTGCACCTGGGGAGATAAGCTTGTAATCGACATTATCAGTGTGGAATCAAACAGACTTTAGTTTTAGGAGCTAGACTTAGATTCCACACCTAGAGTTACAATTGGCATGTCCCTGTCTACAACAGGGTGCGTGTCTAGAAAGGTTTCCAGGCCAGGAAAGAGTTTACTTGCGAACAATGTGGAGGCGGCAGCCATTCCAAGATGCCTGAGGACTTTTGCCTGGTCGGGACAGGGGTCTGGCTAATGTAGGAACTTTGACACAAGGTTGTGAAGTCATAGATATTCATCTGGAAGAGGGTGTTCCTGTGACTCAGCCTCCAGGCTTAACTTTCCCTTTGGCATGAAGTTTAGGAGTCCTGAGATGTTTATTTTCTTTTACAATTCCCAGCCTTCAATGTGTGTTGATAGTGGGACCCTGTAGTCACTATATCCTAGAATGGAATTTAAAGTAAGGATCTCAGCCTGGTGTGGTGGCTCACGCCTGCAATCCTAGCACTCTGGGAGGCCGAGGTGGGAGGATTACTTGAGGTCAGGCGTTCAAGACCAGCCTAAGCAAGAGTGAGACCCTGTCTCTACAAAAAAAAAGAAAAATTAGCCGGGGCACATGCCTATAGTCCCAGCTACTCGGGAGGCTGAGGCAGGAGGATCACTGGAGCCCAGGACTTTGAGGTTGCTGTGAGCTAGGTTGATGCCACTGCACTTAAACCTGGGTGACAGAGTGAGACTCTGCCTCAAAAATAAATAAATCAATAAAGTGAGGCTCTCCAGTGATACACCCCGTTGGGGATTAGCCACAGCACAGCCCATCCTGTAGTTCACTACCCACCCCTAACCACCTAGCCTTGGGGCCAGCAGGGAGGTGGGAGGGCTTCCTTCGGCTAAGAACCACAGAGCTGAGGCTGGGCTTGGGCGGCCAGTCTTGGCCTCTGGAGGGACGGAGAGACCTTGCGGTCAGATTTCAGCATGTGGGAAGGTACCAGTAGCCTGGGGTAGAATTAAGAATTAGGGGATCATTTGGGACGCAAGTTGAGTGCTCTATTCGAGTTGATTTAGGTGGGGACCATATTTTTCTTGGTGTTGTATTACACTTGGTGTTGTTATGTCACCGACAGGAGGAAGAGTAGAAGAACAATCTAGAAAACCAAGAGAACAAGAACTTCCTGCTAAGAAGCCAAGAACAGCCAACCAACAGAAGTCAGGAAGCACAAGCAAAATCAACAAAGCTCAACACTCGCCCAAGAGGCATCTCTTGTGACCTCTTGGGTTGTAGAATGCTCTGACGTCACCTCACAGGACACCAGCAACGGCAACCCCGTCACTAAGCCACCTCTGTGCCATCAGAGAATGAGCTCTACCTGCTTCTAAACAGCAGTCCCAAGGTCTTTGAAGGAAAAGGGTGAAACAGTCAGAACTCTGCCTTATTTTCATGTAGATGTGTTCATGAAAGCTTGAATGGTATGGAACTCTCCATACTTTACACAGTATAAAGAAAGTAGCTTTATATTAATTTCATCCCAACTTCCCCATTTAGAAATCTCGAGTAAAACCCTAGCACTAATGTAAACAGATACACACACGGGTGCACACAGACCCACATGTGGACACTCACTCTCTACCTTATAAGGTAAGAGCTGGGCCTCGTCCAGGTGGAGCCTTTCCCAGCCGACAGCTGACAGCCCACTCTCCCGATCACATTGCTTAATGCACCTCCTTAGAGAACTCTGGGCTGGTAACTAGATACCTTTCCGTCTTTGGCTCAATCCTCCACGCGAGCCCTCTCTACTGAGCTTCCAGTTTTGAATTTCCAAGGAAGAACAGAGGCCATGGCAGAATGATCTGTGGGTGACACCGAAACGGGGCAGCCGAGCCCTTGAGTCAGTGTCGGGAACAGAAAGATAAACTAGGTCCCAGGTGACGACTTTTACTCAATCAAAAAGTTTACCTGTACGTTACCGATAGGCCTCTTGAAGAGTCCGTTTCTTTGGGATCGCTATAAATGATGCTCTGAATTTGGCCCGCACTAATTTGGTGTTCACAGGTAGACACACAATGTGCAAATGTGTGCGTGTCCCAAGAAGTGCCTAAAACCCCTGAAAACGAATTCATACACTCAATGTTTATGGAAGAAAAGAAAGAAGAAGAGGGAGGCTGGAGGGAGATCACACGGGCAGGACGTCACCTTGGAAAGGCGCACAGACCGGTGCTGCTCCAGCAGCACCAAAGGTTCAGCGGGTCGGACTCCCCCGGGTGCCTTGTTAAATCATGACTGCTGGGCCCGCCAGAGTTTGAGTCCGCAGGTGTGGGAAGGAGCCAGAGAATCCACCATTCTAGCAAGTTCCCAGGTGATGCTGATGGTGCTGTCGCAAGGACCCTACTCTGAGAACGGCTGTGTCATCGCTCTGCGCAACCCCCCAACTCCTGCCAAAAACTCACATCACGAGCTGCGACTTCAGTGAACGTCCTTGTTCAACATCCCGCGTACGATCTCCCCTCCGAAACCAGTTATCTCAGATGTTCCTGTTTAACAACATCACGTGATTAAGGAGATGAACGAGAAGTTTACGCTAGCAGCCTGTTCGTTTCTGAAAGGGCAGGAAAGCGTTACGAGAAATCACGGGCAGTTTTCAGCAGGGTCAAGATTCAGATAAAAGAGCCACTTTCTGTCTTTTCTGTGACCACCCGAGTACAAACCAGGCTTCCCCTACCCCCTCAAGTATGTGTTTTCTGAATAAAGTCGAGAAGAATCTCAGACTAGAAAAAAATATATTTTTAATTCTTACTTGAGTAACATGGAATTGAATTACCATTACTCACTTTGGGTGGGTGGGGGGTTTAGGAGATCACATTTTTTTTTTTTCATGATAATACTAAGATGTTATTTACCTTTTTCTCTCTCCTTCTCTCTCAAGTGTATGGTGGAATTTTCCAGAAGCTATTTGATATGTGATATCATCACTCTGCAGTTAACATATAACGAATTTATGACTATTGTTTATAACAGAATTAATAAATGATATTTTTTAAATTTCTTGGCCTTAATTTCTAAATATGGTAAATATTGCTAGATAATAATCTGCATAAACAAAAGCCCTGTGGGATCCTCAACGGTCTTTAACGGTTTTAATCGTTTTTAATAATGTAAAGCGGTCCCGAGGCGTGGCCAATCAGCACAGCAACACCACGGTCGTTTCGGAAATGCAAGTCAAAGCCACGATTAGGTATCATTTCATACGCACTAAGACGACTTTAAGAAACCCTCGTACGTTGTTGGGGAGGATGTAAAATAATGCCGCTGTTATGCAACACAGAGATTGGCAGTTCCTCGAAAAGATAAACAAGTTACCGTGTGACGCGGCCATTCTGCCCCTAGGTATATGCAGATGAAACAGATGGCCACGCAGAACCTTGAACACAGGTTTATAGCAGCATGATTCGTAATTGCTAGAAGGCAGAAACGACCCAAATATTCATCAGCAAATGGACGGATAAGCCAACCGTGCTGTATTCACACAGTGAGACGCTAACCGTGGGAAAGAATGAAGCACTGATACGTGCTACCGCGTGGACACGCCTCAGACACATTACGCTAAGCGGGACAGGCCAGACACCAAGGGTCACACATTGTGTGGTTTCTTTTACATGAAAACACCTAGAACAGGCTACCCCACAGAGACAGGAAGCAGATCAGTGGCTGCCAGGGAATGAGGGGAGTGATTACCTAACGGTACAGGGTGTTTTTCTGGGGTGATAAAAAAGTATTGACACCAGAGAGAGGCGGCAGTTATACAAGGTTGTGTATGTGCTAAAAGCCACTCAACTGCATACTTCATAATGGTTAATTGTGTATGAATTCACCTCAATTTAAAAAAAAAAGAGGTCCTGAGACCAAAATATTTGAATATTGCTGGTCTCACTCATGATTCTCAGGGAAGGGTCCTGAGCCCACAGTGGAGGGTCGGGAGAACCCTCCTGAAGTTTCTATAGTGACCGACTTACTAGTATTCTATTAATATTAAGCAAGATATTAAGAGATGCTAATCTTTTATTCTCAATAACTGAAATTAGCATATTCCTAAAGTTTACTGAAGACTCGAATGCAGAATTCTGTTGAGAACATGAAGCTGGCGCAGCTTGCAGGAAACACGCCGTTTCTGATACGTTACCAGGGCTGTCTTGAGCTGGTTCTGGGTTTTACCTGCCGGAATTCTTTCAGCCAAATCATGGGTTACCGTCAGCGCCGTCCACACGAGGGCTGTGCTTGCCCCAGCGTGCCCTCCTCCTCACCAATTCAGTAAACTCGAATAAACTAAAAAATCAACAGCTCTCCTTAGACCTGTGGGAGAAGTGAGATCACGGGCAAAGTGCCCTCCTGTGAGGGGAGTGACAGGTGACAGGTGCCCACAGACAGATCACGACTTCCTGGAACAGAGGCCGGGAGCAAGACCCGCCTCTGGAGCCAGGCTCGGGCAGGAAAACGTAAACTCACCGGCTGGCTCGGTGCGGGCACAGCTGAGAGACAGAACCCCGGGGGGGGCCCAATCTCGGGGGTCCCCACAGGTCCGTAGGTTTTACCTCCAGAGCTCACCAAGGACCTCGCAGGGAAGAGAGAGAGAAATCCCCTAGCGCTTTCAGCAGGGGGAGGAAAAAAGAAACCATTTTGAGATCTGCCAAGAGCACTCTGTTCTCGTTAGCAGGGCCTGCCCTGGGGGAAGGACTTTCCCAACTAGCTGGATTTTGCCGGCAGGTGCCTGCCCAGCCCGGGAGGGAGGCTCCCAGCTCCCACCCGCCACAGCCGTCCACGCGGTCGGACGAGGGGCAACTCCAGCCCCTCTGCCCTTCTCCTTGGGAGGCGGCCAAGAAGCACTTGTGAAGGTCACATTAAGAGACTGAGCCCCCTGGGCGCGGTGGCTCACGCCTGTAATCCTAGCACTCTGGGAGGCCGAGGCGGGTGGATTGTTTGAGCTCAGGAGTTCGAAACCAGCCTGAGCAAGAGCGAGACTCTGTCTTTACTAAAATTAGAAAGAAATTAATTGGACAACTAAAAATATATAGAAAAAATTAGCCGGGCATGGTGGCGCATGCCTGTAGTCCCAGCTACTCGGGAGGCTGAGGCAGTAGAATCGCTTGAGCCCAGGAGTTTGAGGTTGCTGTGAGCTAGGCTGATGCCACGGCACTCACTCTAGCCCGGGCAACACAGTGAGACTGTGTCTCAAAAAAAAAAAAAAAAAAAAAAAGAGACTGAGCCCTAATCACAGGACTACAGAGCCTTTCCCTATGACATCGATAGGGAAGAGATTGGGGTCACGATGCCGTGGGCAAGGACTGCCCGGGATTGCCAGCGACAGTCATAAGTTAGGAAGGGCGAGACAGGGTCTTCCTCTTAGCCTTCAGAGAAAGCACCTGCTGACACCCTGATTTCAGACTTCCAGCTTCCAGAATTGCGAGAGGACACGTTTCTCTCGCGTTAAGCCACTGAGTTTGTGGTACTTTGTGACGGCAGCCCTAGGAAACGAATGCAGAAGTCTTTTAGGCTGAAGAAAAATGGTACAAGTTGAAAAAATCAAGGAAGAAAGAGCACAAGAAATGGCAACTCCATGGGTTAAATTATGAAATTTTTTCTTATCCTTTAAATATCTTTAAAAGATACTTTAGTACTTAAGCAAAAATAATCCCAAGGTAGGAAGGATATGTAACATAAGTAGAAATAAAATCTGTGATGATGATAAGATAAAAGCCAGGAGGGGAGAAATGGAAGCACCTATTTTAGGGTCTGTATACGGTATGTGCACTGTTATCACTGGAAGGTGGATAGTAATGAGTTAAAGATGTATAATAAAAACCTAAAGCGACCAGTGAAACAATACAACAAAAGGTTATAATAGCAAACCAACGAAAGTCGGTAAAATGGAATAAAAAAATATGCAATCCAATAGAAGGCAGACATGTCACAGACGTGGTTTAATATTCTACTGTTGCCATGTTGGAATTTTTATTTTTAACAAGCTACCTCATACTTTCATTCTGCACTGGGTCTTGCAAATTATGTGGCTGGTTCTTGCTCATAAATGTGAGTTTCTTCCTGCTTCAGAAAATCTGGAAGTAAAGATAGCTCTGTAGAAATGATAGAGAAGTCAGAGGGCTTCATGTATGAACATACCTACGTCACAGAATACCGGTGATTGAGCAAATATATCCAGCCAACAAGAGAGTGTCTTTCAAAAGCCACTAAGATCTGATCTGGAAATTGGATGTTATAGATCATTGATAGCACCAGATATTTCCTCAGATACCTACATCATAAAACTTTATCAATTAGGCTGGGTACATAGCATGACTAGCTGGAATTTCCCCCTAAAATCAGATTCGCCAGGTTAAATGAAGAAATGACCACTA